ACCGCCCTATGCACCCGACAGTACCGGCATCCACAATCATCCGGGCTCTCACTACAGCCATCTAGGTAGCTCGAGAGTCAATAGCAGCACCACGTCAGTCACTAAATTATATAATAGCTTAAGCATAGTGCAGCATTGCAAAACTAAACTAAACAGATTAGAGCAAACTATGGTTATACTTTACTGGGTAGAAGGGAACGAAGAAGCGGATGCCTTTGCAAGGAAAGGGGCTGAACTGATAGGAACCGCTGATATGTCCTGAACTCTTTTGAGGTGCAGGGATCCACAATTCAACGACTATCTTAGTAAAGAAAACATGGCGAAAGAGAAGAAACGATGGAATTCACACTGGAGACAAACAAGCCAATCCTGGCGAGTTTTGGAAGGAAAGAGAATAGAATGCATTAAAGGAAGCAGGAAGAGCCTTCGGATCTTATACTTCATACTTCAGCTTACATGTTTGATGATGCTTAATCATCACGATCCGCCTTCTCGCTTTATTTTGGCATATGGGCCTTTTCACTGAATGTCCGATCGTTTCCTCTCGCCAGCCTCTTTCGTGGTCAAAGCAAATTAGAAGAGCGTTTAATCTTCCCTTCGGAGTCTTTTGTAACACTAGACAATTCAGAGGTAGTTAGGTCTTTGTTGTTAAGGGTGAATTGTGTTATTAAAAGTTAATTGGAAGGTGAGGCGGTTTGTCCGGTCGATATTGGCTTCGACGATCCGTTCACGTTCGATGCCAAGAGTTTTTAATTGTTTAATTAATGCGGATTGCAATTTATTGACGCGTCCCTTCAGTTTTACACAGCTTGTGTAATTATAAGCGTTTCTGTTACTCTTGTAATAATTTAAAACTTGAAAGCATTCTCGTCTTCCTTTTAAATCTTTCGTAGGGCTGCATAATTTCTCTTTATATTTCTGGGAAATTTGTGTGTATTCTTAAGCGTGTTCATCCATTCGTATTTTGCAGGTTGAAGTATAATTAGGACTATTGTGAAACAGATTTATTTTTGTTCGTTTAACTTTTAATTTTCTCTTATGTAAAGATTTTTTATGTACGTTCATTAAACTGGTGAATAAGGATAATATTTTTTCGCCGTGGTTGCTCCTCAATGTATCTTTTGTAACACTTATCTTTTCAACAATTGACCTAATTCCCTCGGTTAAAATGTGCGATCTTACAATTATTATTTTATACTATTGATTTGTTCTTTAAGTCAATGAAAGCTAGAGATATTATTTATAAACAGAATAGTACAAGTTCTGCTTATTCTACAATCGCTAAATGTATTTGACTAGTTGTTTGTTCACTTTTATTAATACGTCGTCACTCCTTGAAAGAATAAGGAGCTTTAAATCCCAAGACATCCTTGGAAAATTGAGTAAAAAACGAAAACTGGATTGTTTTGTTGAAATACAACCGGCAGTTACAAAAAGACAATAATTGTTTTGGCATAAAATTAACATGAAACGTTTTCATATTAGTGTTCTTTATCTTTCGCGTATTTGTGGCTTTGTTTGAAAGTGGGCCGATTTCAAAAGCCTTAAAGTGTTTGTTGGTTAGGACCATCCTTTTAACGATCGCTGATGACTCAATCGAACTTCGCAATGAATTCATTCCTTAAAAATAGAGCTGTTTCAAATCATAGCCTACTCCTATGGTCAATTGCCACATAAGCAACCTTGAAATGACTGTGATGTCGAACGAGTCATAATAATCCGAGCATTCTACCGGCACGAAAACTTGACGTACTGCGTTGTTCCATTCGGCAATTTCGTTTTTTTCTTCAAAAAAATTAAGAATCTGTGCGTTGTAGGCACGATATGAAGTGTGTGGAGGGTATGGCCAACCTGAAACGTCAGGCTTCATTTTTTATTCAACGCTGCAGTTGAAAGGCCGGTGGGCGGATCGACCGTACTTCCCCATTATTTATTTTGCCTTTTTTAAATATTATTTATAATGCTACCTTTTTGCAAACGAAACCATAATATTTCTTTTTTTATTCCAAATAATTTCTTTAAGAATGAATATTCTATAAGTTCTGTGAGAGATCCAGTTTCGGCATTTCGCCATTTACAGCAGTTTATTTTTTGTTTTAAATTATCGATGAGTTGTGTTAATTTAAGTTGGGAATGGCTAGGTTTAATTAAGGTTAGGGACGGTTTAGGTTAGATAGGAATAGAATTAGGGTTCAGTTTAGGGACGTTAGGTTATGTAATGTAGGATTATGGGCAGTGACAAATCAGACTGACATTTGTACTGTTCCTTTGATTTTTTCAAATAAATATTTCCCCTTTTTAATTTATCCATCATCTCTCACTTTTGTTGCTTTATTCTTCTTTACAAATGTTATGTGATAATCTTTTATTTTTTAAAGAACAAAATAGTCTATTAGGCGAGAATGATCCTTGCTTATTTTTTTGTAAGACGGCTTTCAGCATTTTGTCATTTGCAGTAGTTTATTTTATGTTTTAAATTATTAATGAGTTGTGTAAGTTTAGGTTGGGAATGGCTAGGTTTAATTAAGGTTAGGGACGGTTTAGGTTAGGTAGGATTAGAATTAGGGTTCAGTTTAGGGACGTTAGGTTACGTAATGTAGGATTATGGCCAGGGACAAATCAGACTGTCATTTGTACTGTTCCTTTGATTTTTTAAAATAAATATTTCCCCTTTCTAATTTATCCATCATCTCTCACTTTTGTTGCTTTATTCTTCTTTACAAATGTTATAATGTGATAATCTTTTAGTTTTTAAAGAACAAAATAGTCTATTAGGCGAGTAGTCTATGATCTACTGTCTATGATCCTTGCTTATTTTTTTGTAAGATGGCTTTCAGCATTTTGTCATTTGCAGTAGTTTATTTTATATTTTAAATAAATTAATGAAAAATTCAAGCCAGTGTAGATGTAACTGAATCTAACCAGTGTACAAGAATTTTTTCGTGAGAAAATAAGAACATAACTTTTTTCGAAATACCCATTCAAAAGTTGATTATTTGAAATATTGGGAGATTTCTTCATGTGGGCTGCAATATGACGAACCTTTCATTTTGTTATTAACAATTAGTAGAATATAGTATAATATAGAAATACTTTGATTGAACATAAAAAAAATATTTTGCATTGTATAAATTCACTTTTTCACATCCTAAATGTATTTGTTAAATGTAAATAATGTTTTTAAATCCCAGGCCATGAAGATGATCTCAATAAAGAAAATGTTTTTCTGAAACCTACACCACACCAGACCGCATCTCACGATTTCTGAATAATTAACAATTAATTTTGTTTGACTATCCTTGCTGTCAGACATGTATAGACATTTTGCCATCTTCAGTGTGTCTGTCATTTCCGTAAAGTTAGGTTTATTTTATAAGTTATCTTTGGTATGTTTTGAGCTGAATACATAATTTTAAATAGTGTGCCAATTTTTGCATCAATGATTTTGCATTGTTGATAGAGTACGCAAGGGTTTGGTTAGGTTAGGTACGGTTAGGTTAGGTACGGTTAGGGTTGGTTAGGGATAGGATTGGGATTAGGGTTAGAGATACATACCCTTGATTCAAGGTTTTTCAAGGTGGGAACTGTGAGTTTTGCAGGAGAAACTGAACAGGTCTAATTTTTTCATTGTTACTCATTTCACCCTAAAGAAAGAACACAAAGAAAAATGTCGAGAAAATAATTCAAACCTTTTTATACAAGTTTCTTTTATACTTAACAAAACTGCAGGTCCATTACATGAAAAAATCTCAAGTGCCATCACAGAAATAACACAGACCCACTGACAAAATGCAGATATTTGCCTATCAGACCCAGCAAAAATAAGCAGACCAAAATGATATTACATGACTAAATATTTTAACTATGAGAAAACAACATATACAGTTGAGGGATATTTTTTGGAAATCAGACTTTTTCATTTTAACTGTGAACCTAGGCTTCATGAGAATGCAGGCTGTGTACTTTACAAACGCATTTTTTCTATTTAATTCTTATGCAAATCTCTATAGCCATTTAGGCCTTTTAGAATATGCCAGTATCATTTAGGCCCTCATGTTGAAAAGGGCCAGATATAGCCTTCAAATATCTTGTTTTCAAATGAGTGGAAGTAAATTCACATATATACAATCAGCCTGATAGAATTTTTCATTTTATTTAATTAATTAATTTTATTTTTTAAAATGGGGGTTTGTAACAGCAGAGGTCATCTCACCTATCACTGAGCTCTGGTGTTGTTCAAAAAGCCCATCTGTATGTAAAATGTTTGAAACTGGGACCCTTAAAGTGATGAGACACTGTGTCAGTGCTCTAACTCTTGCCTAGGCCCCAATCTGGTAGGATTGAACACTCCTGGAGAGTAGGTTTGTGTGCTCTTACGGAAAGTTTCAAATAATGTAAATTACCTGGAAATATTATATGAAATCATGGTCTTTGTATCCCTGGACACTTGATTCCCTCTCATAAAAATTATTCCATCTCTCAGATGGTGAAGTCCTGCCAAACAAAAGGACATAACGTCCAACTATCTGTTGGGTGTCAGAAACAGTTTAGAATACTTTTGCTTAAAATTATTCTCAAATAAAAGTCCAAGGGCTGTGAATTTTATTATTCTTGTATGGTGGAATATTGAAATTTATGATGGGTGCTTCATTTTACAACTCTCTACCTGCAATTAAGAAGTTCTTCAAGTAGTTCTTAATTAATTAAATATTTAATGTCTATCAACTTGATTTTCTTTAAAAATTCTCATTATTTTGAAACTCTTTGAACTATTTTTTGTTGTTGATACATTTTTAATATACTATTTTTCGTACATGGTATATTATCTTGACTGGTCTGTTTTTTGATTTTCCCATTAGAGTTGTAAAATAAATAAACGTCTTTTCAGATAATTATATTCTGCTAGCTTTAAGAAAACATAAATGGACTTAAAGGATTCATATCCTAGAAACAAATTTAACAATCATCAGCTGAAGTTATAAATATTTTTACTGTTTCAGAAACCATGCCTGACTCACTCAGCAACTATTTCCCAGAGATCAATGATGATTTGACCAAAGTGACTTGGGCGCATGGTGTCAACAGTAGAGAAAAACTGCAAAGAGAATTGAACGGTAAATAATTACCAATAAAGTACTATAAACAGTACTCATTCAAATTTGCTATTTCAGGAAGTGCTATGATGATAGAGGCGGACGTTGTACTCGGAACTTTGATCGGTGACCGAAGCCAGCAATTAATTCCGATTATGGCCCATCCGCCTGAAAACACATCAGACCTCTCACTCGAAATGTTTATAGTCATGTTTTTGGATAGTCAGGCCGCAAAAGGGATGAAGCTAGATTTCAAAAGCAGAGAAGCTTTCTCAGCTTCAGAAAATATTCTTGAAGAACATCTAATCAACACATCTGTAAATTCCTGTTGAAATGTTTATTCTAGCTTAAAAAGTAATGCTATGTTTGTTTTTCAGTACCAGTTTGAATATCCTATATGGCTTAATGCGGATATAATTCGAGGTCCAGTAAATAGCAAGAAGGAACCTGTAGATCCAGATTTCTTCCTTTCAGCCTGTGTCACAAAATTTCCGATTGCAATGCCTTCTGTGGGATGGACTACTGAATATGGCAACGGAATTGATACCGGTCCAATCTCTTTGCTTAACTTTAAACTCATTTAAAGAACAATATAATTGCAATAGTTTCCTTTTATAGGTAGTTACACTCCTGAAATTATATCAGACATGACTGAAGCACTCAACAGAAATTTAGTTGTGAAACCTGTCACATTTGCTGTGCGAGCAGGCCTGGCAGCGCAATCCTACGACGCTCTGACAAACCTAATCGGATCTTCAGTCCCAGGGACAACTCTCACTATATGGTGCAGTTCTCCCAACGATGTAACTGACATGGTTCTACTTAGAAAACTAATTGATGATATAGGTGTTGATAAAGTTTATCTCGACCTCCCTCCTGACATGATGGAGGCGCTTAAATCATCTGCTGGCAACTTGATAGGGAAATGTGCATTAATTGCAGCTACAACGCTCCTGGCACTGGGCAAATATGGTTTACAACAATGAAGCAAATTGTCTTATTGGCCAGCCTGAGTATTTCAATGGTGGATAATTTATGGTAAAATCCACTCAGTGATTTTGTTTAACTAGATTACATGTTAAACATGTTTCAAAATTCTGTTATGAATAAAAAAGAAGAAACGTACTACCTTATTTATCCAAATTTGTTTTTCAAAAATACATTAATGCCATTTCTCATTGAATTTAACAAACTATAAAAGAGTTACCAATTGTACTCACATCACATATAAACAATATTTTTTAACAAGTGAAAAAACTTCTTAAACTAAAACACAGTAAATAAACTTGTAGAAATTAAATCATGAAATAATTTTGTATTAATTATTATTATTATTAAAATTTAGGTTTAATTGTGGATATTAACTTTTTTGCAAGTACCTTAGTTCCCATGTTTCTATTGACCAAAGATAATGAAACTAAGCAATGTGCAGGATTTTCAATTTTTCATGGAAATAGTCTAAACCTAATTTTTTTGTGTAGCATATTTGTATTTTACAAGCCATAAAAAGATTTTTGACGAGTTAAAAATTGTAATAATTGTTTTGAAGATATTGTCATAAATGTTTGTTTTCTACCATCAAATGTAATCGGATCAAGTCTTGTCTGTGTAATACCCTTATTTTTATATTTTTGAAAATAAACAATGTAATTCCTCTTTCGTATTAAAGCTTTATTAGCTTGCCTTATTAATGTAATTGCAATATTAAATAATGAGGCTGTTAGAACTGATTTCTAAGTATTATAACGTAAGTTAGTCTTAGTATGTTCTGCGAATATTAAGTAGCATATCACACAATCATGTTTAACAATAGATATAAAATAGCCATTTGGTGAACAAAGAAATTGGACAAAAAATGAACTTAACATAATTATTTTTTCATGAAGTGCCACGCCTTCTGTAGATAATTTGAAATAATTTAGCTTTCTAAATTATAAAATTAATTAAGGCTTCCATGTAAAAATTGGCTTGAGCTTAGAATGATAAAAAAAAAAAATCTAATTTTGTACATAGTGTAATCGTTAATAACTTTGTATGTGAAATGTAAGGATTCTTTTTTCTAAATATATTATGTTTTCTATTTTCTTGTTTTTATCCCTAAACACTTGAAAGAGTGTTTTAATATGGTCTCCATAAGTTTTTTTTTTGTTTGGTGTATATTAAATATTACATAATATGTAAGTTATTTTCTAATTTAAAGTTAGCAAGGTGTTGAAGGAAACAATTGGCAGAAATGATAAATTGTGGAGTGAGCCTTTTTCAAAAATTGAAACAATTGGAATATTCTTCTGTTATTTTATGGGGGCTACTGGCAATGAAGTCATATCAGTCTCCGATGTACTGGGAGGGACGATGGGGTATTCTATATTATACCATCGCCCCTCTCACTTTATTTACACATTCACACAAACATACAACTACAATGAGCATTTTAGATACATTGATACATTGATATAAACGAACATGGTAAATGTAGATTCTGCCAAGACGCAGAGGAGATACCAACGCACCAATTAATAAACTGAGATGTTACATGTAAATGCTTTGGGTTGTACAACATAACCATAGAAGAAATACAAACAATAACACAGGATACTAAATCATCCGAAATTTTGACATCTACAACTGGTTCCAGCTCCTATGAACTGTACATAATCTTAATGTACATTCTGAATTCTATAGGAAGAAGAGTTTGATTGCAACATGCTGAACCATGAAAAAATACAGAAGAAAGAAAAAAAGGTAGAAACAACCAGTATTTAATTACCAATTTAACTATAAACTTTTTTTAATTGATTTTTTTTAAATTTAAAATTTAATTTACTATTTTTGTCACAGTAAAAAGGATAATTTTTGAAAAGTCTACTAATTTAGACAATGAACTGAATATATCCAAGATCTACACAATTACAATTTCTAGTACATACAGTTTCTGCAATTCATGCCCCTTTCTTTTAACTTCTAATGTTTACAATTTTTACAACTCCTGGCAATTACATTTACATACAAAAATCATAGTAAGTATTGACTATCCTAGATACAACTCTGGACTACAATTACTTCATCTGGTGCAGAAATTTCTCACCAATTCAACTGGTATAGAGAAAACTCCTTATTGCCAAGAAGATTTTTATATGAGGTTGGATAAAAATTCACTCTGTCAATGCAAAGTTATTCTAAAACATTCTCGTTTAAGAATTTTACCTACTTTTTCTGACAGTTCACCAATGTATGTCAAGCAACGAAAGCCTAATAATTCATTTTTGGTGGGGTGGCTGAGTCCAATTTGTTGCTTCTTTTAAAGTTAATTTTTTAATCTTTTTACTACCAACCTGTCAATAAATATTTCTTGATATTCAATGTTTTTAGCTAAGGGTTTAACTGTTTGTAATTATCTTTTAGTGTTAATTGGAATTTCAACATACAATCTATGAGCCAAGTGAAGCCAGCAGTTTTTTGGGTCCATGGGTGAGAAGAATCTGCTGGTATCATGGCATCTGCAGTTGTGGGTTTTCTATATAGTATCGCATATGCATCTCTCAAACCGATCACCTCTTTGTGAACTGGGCCTGAGAAGCTGGTTTTAAAGCCACTCAATTTTCAACGTGCGAAAAACGTAAATAACACAACTAAATATTATCTTAATAAATACTGTAACCAAATAATTTTAGTGTTTAATTTATACTTTTTATTAATTAATTAATAAAAATTAAATTAATCAATTTTAACGATGAACTTGATAATCGACCTGCTGGATACAAGAATTTTTTCAGAGGATCTTCGGAAGAGATCAAAACAGAGAAAACTGTTTTCTCTGTTTTGATCTCTTCCGAAGATCCTCTGAAAAGACTTCTTAATCAATTTATTTAATTGTTTGTCAAATGTTATTTAGGTGCATATTTAAATTAGGATGTAAATCAAAATCTATTAAATATTATTAATGCATTAAATTCACTAATTTCGTGGTCCGCTTGACCAATTAATATTATTGCTACCTTAATTAATAAGGGTTTTTAGTCAAGATAAAAAAGGCAATGGCACGAGCGGGATTCGAACCCACGATCTTCGGTTAGATACGACGCTGCTCTACCACTTGAGCTATTGTGACCTCGATCCGCTCGGACATTAACTTCCTATCTCAACCACACCATTTGAATTTTCCCTCCTTTTTGCCATTTTTCAAATATCGTGTAATCGGATTGGATTCTCGGCAACAAGCGACCGACTCATGCAAAAGATTTAAACGAAAATTCTCTAAAAGCATCTTACTTGGATCAGCTATCGAACGGCACCAGTGGTTCTCAAACATTTTTGACCCATGGACCCCTGTTTATAGTCAAAAATTGCCCACGGACCCCCATGTGAAAAAGCGACATACATAAATGCATAGTGTAAAAATTACAAATTAAAAACCCATAACGCAGGATATAAAATTGGGATCTGTTTTTGTAACCAGAATTTGTGGTACCCTTGTTCAAACATTGGTTTAAGTTCCTAATTTGTGGATATTTCAATAAGCTGCTCCTGTATTAGTATGGATTCATCTGTGTTTGGGTCTGAGTTTGTCCACGCGCAAAAGGGTTCAACACCCAACTCCAAGTGAAGAATGTCTTCAAATCTTTGGTTCAGGTATGAAGAGCCGTTAAGTGTTGACAGTAAGCAAGCAAATCTTCATCTCTAATTTACAATTTCGAAAGTTTTGGAAACTGAGAACCTTCTCCTCTTCCCAAGTTTTCTTTGTACAGAAAAAGTTTTGCAACAAACGCAGATATTATGCTTTTAGTTTTGATTAAAGTTAGTTGGTCACCTTGTAGTTTCAAATTAGTTTCGTTAAATTTGGCAAATAAATCAGACATATAGGCTATGTCATTTTTTGATTTAATTAAATTGTGTCGCAAATCATTGTCTTTGGTTTCCAGGAATTCCAACACTGAATCAAAGAGCGCATAAAATCGATTTAAACATGCGCTTTTAGATAACCAACGTACCTCTGTTTTATATTATATTATTTTATATTAAACCTTGCGCGGACCCCCGACGTTGTTCAGAGACCCCAAATCAATTTTAATTTTCCACGGATCCTCTGAATGATACCGAGGACCCCTGGGGGTCCGTAGGAACCACTGAATGGCACAGATAGGTAAAGCTCCATACCATCGCTGAAACCCTCATGAAATCGTGTGTTAATGATATCGAATCTTGCTTGCTTAATGAAAAAAACAGTAAAACTTATGTACTTTATTGGCTTTTGTCCGTTATGAATAGCCGAGATGTTATCAGGTACCGAAATACTTACGATTTGTTTACAACTAACGAAATTCCTTGGTCCTGTTGCATTGACGTGGTGGTGGTTGCATGGACAGATGGTGGAAAAACAATGACTGGCCAAACGATCGGAGTGATTACTAAAGTAAAAAAATAAATAAAAGAATTGCAGCAGAAGTGTATTCTACATAGACATGCTCTGGCTATGAAACAAGCCTCTTTTACGAAATCTTGGATGAGTCTGTTCAAATTATTAATTACAACTACTCGCTGCTTTTCAGAATACTACGTGACGATATGGGAAGCCTTCATCCATACAGAGAAAAGTGCAAAAGGCCTTTCCCGATTACAAGAATTACGTTCTGTTGACGGACCACATGTCAAATCGGACAACGTTTTCAATGTTGAGAAATGGCAATGTACTGTCGTATTTATCAGATATTTTCATGAAATTGAATGATACGAATATTTCTGTGCAAGGAAAGAGTAACACAACTTTCGAGGCTAATGCCAAAGTTCGCGCCTTCAAAAGATAAATCCAGTTTTGGGTTGAATCTGTTGAGAAGGAAGAGGTGGAGTGTTTTCGTGTGTTAAATGATCTAAAATAAAACAAACTGGAGCTTGCGAACGTTACGTTTATTGATGAATGTGAACAACTTCAACATTTGGACATGTCCTTTGTGCACTACTTCGAGTACAACAATGCTGCAGGACCATGAAGGGTGGTCACACAGTTTTCAGTTCAGACCAAGCCAACTAGTCTATCTTGAAGTGAATACGAATGTTTGATAGACATTAATTAAGATTCCACTTTTAAATCTACTTTCGAGTGCGATACTCACCGCCATTTTTGGCTCCGACTGGATAACAAAAAATTTCAACCGTCCGTTGAAAAAGCAAAACGCCTTTTTTTTCCTGTTCTGTTACAACTTTGCGAATCCGCATTTTCTATCTATATATACCGAAGCTGTCTACACAGGTGCTGAACCCTACATCCTTCTCTAGCTATCAAAACTTAAACCCAACATATCCAAATTGTGCAGGCTAAAGCAACATCACTCTTCCTATTATAAAGTTAAGATTTTATTATGAAGTATGTCAATCTAATGTTCATTTTCATAGTGATATCCCCTACATCACCTAATTAGGAATTGTCTGGCTAATTGATATAACTTTAATTTACTACATACTATAAGCATCTAATTTTAAATACTTGAATGAGAAGGGTCTGCCCTGGATTTTGTTCTGTGAAAGGGGTCCGCTGGCTAAAACATTTGTGATGTGCAGTGCTATTTTGTACTAAATCATATATACCTCCGCTATAGTTAATTAATCCTTCATGTAAAAACCAAAGTATGGACGTTTAGTTCAATTAAACATTATTAAATATTCACTAATTTCGTGGTCAGCTTGACCAATTAATACTTTACAATTAATTAAAGTTTTTTGTTGAGATGAAAAAAAGTTAATGTTGATCAACTCCCCATCTCAACCCCACCTTATGAGTTTTCCCTCCTTTTGCCATTTTTCATTTTTGATGTCCGAGTGGATCGAGGTCACGATAGCTCAGGTGGTAGAGCAGCGGCGTATCTAGCCGAAGGTCGTGGGTTCGAATCCCTCTCGTGCCATTGACTTTTTCATCTCAACTAAAAACCTTAATTAATTGTAATGTATTAACTGGTCAAGCGTACCACGAAATTAGTGAAATTAACTAAAACGTTCCCTATTCGTAAGTACGTCACGTCAGGTGCTTCTACACCTCAAATGCAACAAAAAAGGTCGTATGAACTATGGTCTCATTTTCAATCCTTTCACA